CATCTTCATCTGGAGGTAGGCGTAGTGGACCGCCGCCATGAACTTCACCAACGCGGGCCTCCCCAGGACCGCGTTGTAGGGCAGACTGAGGTCCGCCACATCGAAGTTCACCCGCTCCGTGCGGAAGTTGGCTGATCCACCAAAGGTGACCGGTGGGTCGATGTGACCCAACGGCCATGTGTGCCCCGGCGTCACACCGATAATCGGTTGGGACGGCTGGAGCACCATCCCCGGGGCCTTGATGGCATCAAAAGCCGCGGGGGAAATGATGTTGAGGGCCGCTCCAACATCTATGAGGACACGCCCCAACTTCACGTTGCAGATGGTGGGGGAAACCACCATCGCAATCTGCCCTCCCCGGGCGACGCACGGTGGGTGGTCGGTCTGGTCGAAAGTGAGGGCAACCTCCGACCACCGCGCCCGGCGCGTCGCCTCATGAGTAGGGGCCGCGGCCAGAAGCTCTCGCTTCATGGCCTTGAGGCTCCGGCGAGAGACGTGAGCACACGCTCCCCCATCGACAGTGGCAATGGTGGCCCCAGGTTCTTGGAAACCTAGGTCATCATCACCGTCATCGATGTCAACAGCGGGGGCCTTCTGTTTGGCCTCACTTCGCCGTTTACCGGAGGGAGCTGCCGGCGACTTGCCCTCACGGCGTTCCTTCCTCCTGTCCTCCTCCCACTTCCTCGTTCGCTCAGCCAAGTTTTTGACCGCGCGACAGTCCGCGAGATCGTGGAGGGAGGTGTTGTGGACGGAGCACCACTTGCCGGCTGGGCGCTCCCTGGTGGGAGTACCAGCCTCTTTCTTTTTGTCGCTCGCAGGCCTCCCCTTTCGGGTGGCCCGCGGAGCGCCCTCGACGGCGAGGACATGACCCTCGTCGCCGGAATGGACCGACCTCTTCTTCCTCCTCCTGTCACGCCGCCCTGTCTGAGCGGCGGATCCGGGGGCGGCCGAAGCTGCCACTCCGGAACCGGAGGGGTTCCAGGTCCATGCTTCCTCCTTACGAGCCACTCGGTCTGCGAGCTGAAAAAGCTCCGCGGTAGTCTGGGGCTCTTTGGAAGCGATCTTTTCGAGCATGCGGTTGTGCCGCACACCCCCCCTGAACGCATAGATCACCGCGTGTGCAGGGATGCATGGTATGGTATTGCGGACTTGGCAAAACCGCTGAATGTACGAGCGAAGTGACTCATCATCCCCTCGCTGTACCGCGTGCAAGTCCGCTTCTTCGCCTGGGCGCGGATAAGTGCCTTGAAAGTTCATAGTGAACTGTTGGCATAAATCCTCCCAAGAGTGGACCGACGCAGGTGGCAGGTTCATTAGCCAACCCCGCGCCTGTCCCTTCAGGGCCATGGGAAAGAAATTCGCCATGACTCTGTCGTCACCCCCAGCGGCCTCAATCCCGGTCGTATAGACCTGGAGAAACTCGGTGGGGTTGACACTCCCATCATACTTCTCGGTGATGGTGGGCCGGAACCTTGGGGGCCAACGGACATTCCGAAGACTCGCCACAAAGGCTCTACAGCCGACACCACCAGCCGGGGGCACGGAGGGCTGGTCCTCACGTCCATGTCGAGGTGACACTCTGGACGAAGAGGCGCCCTCCGTTGCGCGGGGAGTACGCCGGCTATTACGCCGGCGCTCGATGTCGAGGCGGGCATCCGGCTCTCCATGCTGATCCTCCCGAGTCGGAGGTGCCGACGAGGGAGTGGCAGCCGAATGGCGTGCAACAGCCGCCGCTCGCCGCGCCCTCCGTCTTGACGACACGGAGCTGGTAGTGGCGGCGCCGGAGGTCTTGGTGGTGGCGGACCGTCCACCAGCACCCAGGCGCTGCTGTGCCGTCATGACCAAGTTGGCCACGTCGTCCAGCCATCGCTGGGCTGGAGACTCCGGGTCAGGGACGATGGGCGGGTGACGTAGGAGCGCGCCAACAGCCTGAAGCGCGCCCTGAGGCGTGCTGCCGTCGCCGTAGACGAGGAGGCGACGCTCCCCATCTCGCCGTTCTCCTGCATCACCCGCGACTGGCGATGCTATGGATTTTTCGACCCTCTCGAGCGCCTCCCCCTGCTTAGGATTTTGGTGTGGAGGAGGTGGGGGAGTACGAGCTCGACGGCGTGGGTTTGGCTCCCCGTCGTCGCCGCTCACACTCGGAGAGAGGTCGTGCACCTTTGCTTGCTCGGCCATTAGGCTGAACAAGAAAAACTTGGCGCACACGGAGGAGTACGAGAGCTCAGAAAACACACGCTGAGCCCCCTACCTGGCGCGCCAGATGACGGAGCTCGTGGCTCCTCACCAGGAGACCGCACAGGCCCCCCTTTGCTGGTTCGGCCGGGGGCTTAGGGTGAAATCTCAAGCTCTCTCGGTATGTGGAAAGATCGCCAGCTAGGAAGAAACACGAGACACGGGCGATGTATACAGGTTCGGGCCGCTGGGAAGCGTAATACCCTACTCCTGTGTTTTAGTGGATTTGTGTATGAACAAGTAACAAAGTGTCAACCAGCCCCCAATCGCCCTGGGATCGGATCTGGAGAAGGCCTTGTGTCTAAAAGTCCTCTCTTTATCTAAGTGGGCAAGGTCCTCCTTTTATATCTCAAGGGGATACCACATGCCCCTCTCCCTCTCCAAACTGGACTGTTCTTCTCTTCATAAATGGACGGAGATCGGTACGGTTGCTCTCCGGGTGCCCTTCTGACGGGACGGCCCATATCTACCCCCCTTTCCGCCGGAAACAGGTGCGACGTGGGATTATGGCTGTCTGTTGATGACGCGACCAGTGTCAGACCGGTCACAAATCAGTCATCCTTGTCCACCACGTGTCAGCTTAGCAACGTGTATGTTTGCCCTTCTTCATGTAGCATCTTGCCTGTAATGGTTGGGATGAAGCCTGGTATAAATCTAACCAGGGCTAACGTGCCATCTCTAAGAGATTACACGCTAGCTCCGGCTTGAGACGAGTGCCTAGAGGCTTTCGTCTTGACGGGATGGGGCAAGGCGTGCGTCAGACCGCCAGTCGCCACCTAACCCGTGATCTGACCGGTCTGTGACTGGTCACAGACCGGATAAAGGAACGTGCTGCACTACGCTGCATGCAGCGTGACACGTTCGACCAGACCGCAATAAATGTGGTTAGGTGAGGCTTACCGTGTTCACCCAACCCATTCATGTGGCGCTAACTCCACAAGGGGTCGGGGCGCCTCGGCCCTCGGGGCCGGGGCAGGAGTCACCCGACCCCCCCTCGGGGAAATCAGGAGGAGGGCGGACACCTCACCCTCGGGCCCGACGTCCCCGAAGGTGCCAGGCCACGTGGGCGATTGTGTCTGCCTCAAGCCTCTGGTCACGATACTCCCGGTCCCATATCACCGACAAACTCGAAATTTGAATTTTTGAAGTCAAAATTTAAAAACTTTCAACTTCTCATCTCAAATTTGAAAAACTTTCAACTAGTGTTTGAAAGCTTTCAACTCAAGATTTGAAAACTTTCAACTCGAGATTTGGAAACATTCAACTCAAGATTTTGAAAAGTTTCAACTGGGATTTTAAAACTTTCAACTTGGATTTGAAAACTTTCAACTTGAGAGCAACTCGAGATTTTGAAAACTTTCAACTTGGATTTGAAAACTTTCATCTCGGGATTGAAAACTTTCAACTCGAGATTTAAATATTTTCAACTCGAGATTTAAAAACTTTCAACAAAAAAATTGAAAACACTTGCTGCTGGAAGATTAAAAAGTAATCAGGAAAAAAACGCAAAAAAAAAGGAAAGCGAAAAAAATCACGGAAAAAAGAAAACGAAAAAAAAGAAAATGGCGGTAGGTTAGCGAAAAAAAATCGCGCGCGCGCCGCGTGGGGCGTGTGGGCCGGGAGTGCGCGCGCGAGAATTAGGATTCTCGTGTGTTCTTACCCCAAGTTTCCCAACCCATCTCTCTCGTTTTCCATGCGCACGCTTTTCAAACTGCTAATGGTGTGTTTTTTGAAAAAAGTTTCTATATGAAAGTTGCTTAACAAAATCATATTGATCCATTTTTGAAAAAAAATCAACTAATACTTAATTAATCACGCACTAATAGATCGTTCCGTTTTTCGTGCGCACTGTTCCGGTAGGGAACACCCTGCAGAGAACACACCTGTAGAACAAGTATAATAGAGGGCTATAAGAAGGCTGAATGCTGAGGTGGATCAGAGAGGAGAGGAGAGAGATGAGAAGCGGGCTGTAAGTTTACAGCCGGCTTAGGCACAAGAATCAAGAAAATATGTGAGACAGACATGTGGACCATATATTTATATAATGAAGAGCTAACCACTATATGAGTGAGCTGAGAGATAGTCTATAAAGATCTATACAGTAAGCAGCTGGCTGTATTATTAGCCTTGCTCTTAGGCTGTGTTTGCAAGAGCAAGTTCCCAGCACTCCCCTCTTGTTTTTCACGCGCACGCTTTTCAAACGGCTAAACGGTGCGTTTTTTGCAAAAAGTTTCTATACGAAAGTTGTTTAAAAAATCATATTGATCCATTTTTGAAAAAATAGCTAATACTTAATTAATCACACGCTAATGGACTACTCCGTTTTCCGTGTACACTGTGCATGTTCCAATTCTCCCCTAGCGAACACAGCCTTAGCGTGACTGCATTATTCAGAGTTATTATATTATGAGTTTTATAAAGACTAGGAAGTAGCCCGTGTATTTGCATGGATATGTATTGTAAGTTGTGTTTGAGAAACTAATAAGGAATGAATATGAAACGGATAACACTTGCTAAGCTTCAAAACTACTACTCCACAAATTTTCTTCGTCAACGTTGCTTGGTAAATTTTTTTCAAGCCATTTTTTAACTTCAAACTATATAATATTGAATTCATTCCTATAAGAAATTATTTGTAATCTTTTTCATTATGTACAAAGAGGGTTAACTTAGTTTTTTTTAAAAGACATGTCTAACTCTAAATTCAAAATAAGGTTTTTTTTTCCATTTTAAGTTGATAAAATATTATTATTGATAATAAATATTTTTTATTTGTACCATTAAGCTACTTCTCCTTCTAGTTGGTTAATGATGTCTATTACATATGAGTAAATAAAGACAATAGATATATAAATCCTAGAGATTGTTTCTTTAAAATACCTAGTCAAGATGAGTCCTAAAATTTGAATTTAAAATCAACAAATATAACTTTTAAACCAACTACACACTGCTACCTTAGTGTAGCTTATATATCACAAATACTATGTGAAGAAACTCATAACTGCTATACTCCTACCTTTATTCTCCAACGTGAGCCCCTTTGTATTTGGCCATGGTTTACTTTCCCTGCTTGCTTGCTTCTGCAGTTGTTATTAGCTTTTCATTTGTTTCATCTTATTTCTCCTGTTACCTCACCTTCACACATAGTCTCGCCCTTGGACACTCCAGGAGATCTTGCGATATGAATCAAGAGTAAACACCCTATATACCCCTGAAAACTCACTCAATCCCTTTTATAACCCTGAATACTCACTCATAACTATAATAGTCTTATGCGACAAACTTTTACATTTTGAATAATGTAATTCATGAATTTCTATGTTCATCCAAAGTGTAAAATGATCATCTTTATAGAAATTAGACGGTCACTAACGGTCAACTGACGGAAGGGGTATTTATGGAAGGGATTAAAATTAAATTTTGGGTTATACAAAAAGTAAGCAAATTAAATTTAGGGGCATAGAAAAGATTAACTAAAATAAATTTTAGAGGTACAGAAGCGATTTTCTCGTAAATCAAAAGAGCAACTGCTCACGGGGGAGAGAAGATAATATATATTTAAGGTCAGCGAAGCTAACCAAGCTGGTCTCCTTCCAACCAAAGATTAATCAATTTGAAAACCACATACAACCTAGGTGCTAATGCTGGTGTTTGAGTCTCGTGAATATGAGTAGAGATGAGATTTCCACAACAATGCAACCAGCCATGTCAGCTATGGTGACAAGGAAATAGATTTACTGGTAGAGAAAAAGAGGAACTCTAGGTGATTTTGTGAACAACGTACACTACTAGGAAAAAAACATTTTTCCGTGCGGTCAAAATAATTTTCCCATGTGGAGGATTTGCCCGTCTGCACCCAAGCGTATGGAAAAATCAATATTTTCGCGTGTGGACGTCACAACCACACGGGATAATCATTTTCCCATGCGGTCGGGTTAAGTGGACCGCACGGGATAATCGATTATCCCGTGCGGTCAAATTATACCGCCCATACGGAACAAAAAAAAAACCAAAAATATAAAAAAAAAGCGAAAATCGCCGCCCGCCCGCCGGCCCGCACGCAACCAGCCGCTGCGGCGAGTCTTTCCTCGCCACCGGCAGGTCGGCGGCAAGGTCACCGCCGCCGTGGTGCACGACGTCATCGACGTCCTACAGCTGGTCCTGCCCCATGCGCTCCGCAGCCGCGCAGTCCCGCTCCAGCCGATAGCCGCAGCCGCAACCGCTGCCACCACCACCTCCTCCTCCTCCTCCCTCACGTCCGGTGCGACATCAACTCCGGGCATGAGCAACATCGTGGACACCGCCGCCGACTTGGCCTACAGTCGCGCCGGCCGCCACCACCGCCAGATCCGGGCGGGGGTCAACTGCCGCCGCCGGATCTAGGAGGGGGACAGCCACTCCTCGCCGCCGCCACGCCCGGTCGCCGCCTCACCCCGCCTGCCCAGTTGCCGCTTTGCCGCTCGCCTCGTCGCCAGCCGGCCGCGCGCCTCCTGCGGAGAGGAGAGGATAGGAGAAGAGAAAGTGAGAAAGAGAGAGAGAGAGATAGAGAGAGAGAGGAGTGAAAGTGAGACAGATAGAGAGGAGGAAAGTGAGAGAGAGGGGAGTGAAAACAAAAAGGAAGGGAGAGGAGGTGTGAAAAAATTGAAATGAGTTAGAGGGAGATGTGTGAAAATTTTGAAGTGAGTAAGAGGGAGAGGTGTGAAAATTTTAAAGTGAGTGAGAGGGAGATGTATTTTCGCGTGCGGTCCACTTAATATGCCCGCACGCGAAAATTGATTTTTCCGTGCGGTCCTCTTAAGTCGACCGCACGGGATAATGAGGATTATCCACTACACTGGACAAGGTCACCTGTGACGGGCCCAAACCCTCACCTCTGACGGCTTTGGGCTTGGTCAGTGATCAGTGGTCACTGGTGAGTACAGTCACCTTTGATGGGTGGAAGACCGTCACTGATGACAGTCACCTCTGACGGGCTAGAACTCTACGGTCCGTCAGAGATAAGTGTCTGCACTAACCCATGCCATTTTGCAACCCGTCACAGATGACTCACTTGTGACGGCTCAAAGAGTAAAAACCGTCACAGGTGTGTCACTTGTGACGGCATGTATGTGCAAAGCCGTCACTGGTATGGTCACCTGTGACAGGCTTTTGCGATATGAACCGTCAGTGATGAGCTTACATCTAGAAAAAAATAATTTCTAAATGTTGGTTAGCCCTAGGATTTGCTAGACATGCCCTCTGGAATTAAAAACAGAACATACACATGCAATATATATGTCTCCAGTTTCAGCCCATTGCATTAAAAGTTTCAAACTAACATCACATGCATTCCATGTTGTCACCGAAAATCCATAGACATTCACACACATGCATTGCAAGTTCTCGAATTGAGCCAAGCCGATACTTCAAAGCACCACAAATAAATCCAGAAAAGAAGAGAACATACTTCATGCCGTGCTCATTAATATGCACACAGGGTTATCAAAAATACAAAGAATCATACTTCAATGCCAACATACTGAAAAATGAGAAATACAGCCTAAGTGACACAAACTTGAACATAGCATTTCCTTCTTTTGGTTTCTGAGCCTGACGAATATGGTATAACATACAAACTTACAATTAGATCATGAGTACAGCCCCCAGTGCCTGCAATGACATCATTCAGAGAAGTTTACCTCAGATTAGTATTCATTAGCCTTTCACCCATCCTTGATAGTCATCCATATGCATGTCAGTAGTTAAATATTATGTGAAAGAAACGGAAATACATCAACTAGCAGAGGAAGCTTACCATTTGTAGAAAGAACTAGCGTCTAATTTGTTCAGCTAGCATAGAAATTGGGGAATTTGTAGAGTATCCAAGAACACACCCAAAAAAACTTCTGGTAAGAGGTCTAATAAGGAAAATAAAAACATATCTAGTGATGCATCAACTTAAATAGAACAAGAAAACAAAGCGAAACAGCATGCCCACTATCCAAACAAAATACTAGTACACAAAGATCATCTAATTAATGATCCAGTAGCTCGTGATTTTTGCCTGGGGTTAAAGCTAGATGCATCCTTGGACAAGGATTTAGCCACAGGAGCCACAGGAGATGCTAGAATCGGTTGACTGCAAGCTCAGATCTGGACGCAAGAGAAGGAAAGGGTGACTTCTGCTTAGTACTAAACTAAGTAAAATAGATGAGGAGGCAGTGACTACCGACGATGGGGTGGAAGGGGATAGCCGACGCCTGCTCTCCCCTCGGCAGGTTGACCTCGACGACGCGGAGTGGTGTGGACGGCGGACTGCTTTCCTCGCGGACGGATCTGGAGCACCCAAACTCGGGATGGCTGGATCCGCGACCTTCGAGTTCAGGGTGTCCGGATCTAGAGCCCCCGGGTTCATGGTTGCTGGGGCTGTCAAGGGGAGGCCAGGTGGGGATGCAGAAGCTCGTCGTCGACTGGAGATAAGCAGCGATGGATGGCGGGGCTTGTCGATGGCGTTGGGCAGTGGCGTTGTCTTCATCTTTGGCTCGATGGGGCCGCCGCTGCACAAAGAGAGAGAAGGAGAGAGAGAGAGAGAGAGAGGAGAAGTCGAGAGAATTGGAGAAAGGGACAGAGAGAGGCCGACCTTATCTCCGGCGAAGGAGGCGGCAACCCCGAGCTCCTGGCCTCCAACTGGCGCCGACGCCGGTGCCGCCTCCACATCCGGCCCCAGCACCCGCCCGGGCCACCTCCGCCTTCGGCCTTCGCACCTGCCGGTGCCGCCTCCCCCTACGGCCCGCGCACCCGCCGGCGCCAGTGCCCTCCGCCGATGAAGAGAGAAAGGGTTGGGAGGGAGAGAGAGAGAGAGGGGGGGAGTGATTGAAAGAGAAGAGGATAAGGATAAGGATCCCTGTGTGGCTATCTGTGTTTGGGAGAGGATAAGGATCGATCGATACAGTTGCACGGGAAGAGGGGAGGGTTATGAGAGCGATTTTTTTATCATCTTTGATGGGCACACAAAATTTGACCCGTCACAGGTGACATTACCTTACCTTTGACGGGTTCTATTTTTAGACCGTCATAGGTGACTAGTTAGCTGTGACGGGCTAAATATTTTTGGCCCGTCACAGGTGACTTTAACTCACCTTTGACGGGTTCCATTTTTGGACTGTCACAGGTGACTAGTTACCTGTGATGGGTCGCCGCCGGATGGCTCACCGATGATGACATGTTGTAGGACCCGTCAAAGGTGACCCTCATCACTGACCAGCACTTATGTCCGTCACAGATATGCCGCCACAGGTGTGAGAATCTGGCGTAGTGATCCTATTCGGTCGGATTAAGATGCCCGCATGGAAAAATGTATTTTCTCGTGCGGGGGACAACCCGGCGTCGGTCCCCCTATTTTCCCGTGTGGTTCTACTTATGGACCACATGGAAACAAAAGGGGTGGCGTCTAGGAAAATATATCATGTAGTAGTGGTAATCCAACCGTTGTGCTGCTATGGACGTATACGATTGAACAAAGACAAACTTTGACGTTGTATCTCTGGTTTGTTTTAGATTTAATCAAATCTAATCCTATCTTACTATAAAGTTATAACCCACTAATTCTAAAGCTCAACATACAAACATGCCATCTCATTATCCACTAGCAATAATTACATATAAACTTATACAAGCATGCAATAACATCTATAATTCATTGAGTTCTACACATCAATATCCAATCATCTTCCTTCACATTCTTTTTCACAATATTTTTTAACATATATATCAATCATTTTTATAATACTTAACATATATTCATCCATATAATCCATATAATCAAAGTACAGGACATCATATTTCATCTATAATTTCATACAAAGTCTACTAAATTTATTTCTCTTAAAATAGTTTGACAAATCAGTTTTATTTGTTGTTAATAACTAATTTTTTTTTTACTTTTAGCTTGATTTTTTAAAAAATAGAAGTTACTAATTTCTGCAACAAAGCGTAGGGAATCACCTAGTAGTTTATAGTATTGGACCCATAGAATTAAGTAAAAATCAAGGGATAGATTTTATTGGCACCACATGACAACTTGAGAGCATTTTTTAGGAAGCCACGTGGCATCTTGAGAGTGTTTTAAGGAAGCTTACTGAACTTTTAGTATATAATAGATAGATAGATTATTGTCATCCTTATAAAAAATCTAAAATAATATATGTTTTGTTTAATTTCAGCAAATAGCTCATACTTATGTGTCATTTTTTGTTCTTAAAAAGTTATATTTATTTTTTTCTTTCAAAGTATAAATATCATACCTTCTGTACTTTCTTATTATATTTCTTATTTTATAAGATGTTTGTTAAGTAATTTTGTAATTAGTCAATGTATATTGTTTATGTCATGTTTAACATACACAAAAGTTAAGAAATTTTTTCATGGAGTTAGTTATATCCCATTGAATTTCTACCGATACTTAGAAGGACCACTTGATGGGTTATTAATTTCTAAATTAACATGTAATAATATATTTCTTTAACTGAAAAACCACAAAATTCCCTTGGCTAGCTCTCATGAGTCTAACCTCAGGATTGGATCGATTGGCGGCACCTTACCTATTCCTATTGGACCTACTAGCATTCTTTCGCAATTCATATTCTCCTTTAGAATACAACAATTTTGCATAATATAAAATAATTGGTGAAGGCCAGTTAGTTTTTTATTTAACCTATGACATATCGATATTTTCTTATTAACCCTAAGAATCAGAATTCATAATATTTTGATATGAAACATATTCTAAATTTTTCATATGAAAGAACTAGTATAATTTTCTATAGATTTATAAGTGGTGCATAGAAGGTAGATAATCTAATTTCTTTTCAAATATATTCAGTATTGGACTCATTTTGTTTCTTGCATTCTCTCAAACATGGAGAAGTGGATAAAAGTTCTCGCTATGTGTATGTGATTTATTAGATGTGATCATTCCAAGTTATCAGTAAATTTCTAGACATATTCTCAAGCAATTCAAAAGGAAATAGAAGGGCTACTTATTTTTTTCGTTTTGATATTCTTTTGTTGACTTTAGTTAGGAACTTGATGGGAATTTATTGTTATTGTTAAAGTGTTGCAAATGAAATAGTGCAAAAGAGAAAAGAGTATTTGGAATATGCAAAATGGAATCTTCCAGAAGTGCATGCTCTCGAAGATTTTTATTCCTTTTGTTTTCATATGACTCTAATTTTCTAGCAATTTAGAAGTGCCCATGGTAACTTAGACTTCGGATTCGACAGAGATATATATAAGGATAAGCACCGACGAGTTTGGATCAACCTATCACCACTACAACTTCCGTGTCCTCTCCCCGACCACGCTAGTCGATCGCTGAGATCTTCGCGGAGGTCGATGCCGGAATCCAGGACGAGCGTGGCGTGCGCGTGTGCTGCCCCATCTTACTTGATAACGATGAGTTTGGCATTTTCCATGGTTAATTATGCGCTTTTATACCATAGCACTAAAGATTACGTTGCGGATTATAAGAACATTTGGACTCCCTTGAATGGGTATTGTATTGTCCATAACTCCATATGGAGAAGAGGGGGATGATTTCGACTGATCGATGAATTTCAGTTCCTCGGTTTGTATTAATGATTCAAGAGTATGCCTAGCTTTGAATGGGGCTGGGTGTAGCATTTCTATGTAATTTGCAAGTAAATTTGCCATTGTAGCGTTGTAGTGTGTTTGACGTGTTTTGTTTTTTTTTTTTGCGGGGAGTGTTTTGTTTGATCTTAAAAGAGGCTAGTCAGGTCTTGGTTGGGATGGGAGATAATTGATTGATTATTCGAGAAACGCCCACGTATCTTCTGGCTAGCTTCATAAGGTGATGAGCTAGATGATCTGGGTTCGAGGCCTCACTCTTCTTAATTATTTGGCGTATTTTTTATTGATTATTCTCCTCTAAAAAGAAAGTAAAATAGATTAGACCGTACAAACTTTTTGTCAAGTTGCTGAACAACGACAAGAATTTCTGAATACACAAATACCACCTTGAAGAAAAAAAAATCCTGTGTATAGCAATATCAAAACATACATGGCCAACTTGGCACAAAGCCGAATTCTACTTTGTTAGGAAAAAATAAAAAAAAATGATACGACTCCACTGGGGATCGAACCCAGAATCTCTGGTTCCGTAGACCAGCGCCTTATCCATTGGGCCATGGAGTCATGTTTTGTTCTAAAAATTTCCATATTTTATATAAAATATTTTTATGTGAGGCATAATTTACTTTCATTTATTTCTTTTTTTTTTCGCGAAGAAGATGCAACTTACTTAGACAGCAACTTATCCTCCCATATAACACACAGATAGCAACTTGCTCGACCATAAAAAAAAGAAAAAAACAGAACCATGCACAGGTCACCGTAGTTACAGTTCACATTGCTTTTACACTATAGTTACAGACCAATTATATAATAGTTACAGATAACTTACAATGTAGTTAATACTAGTTATAGGCTGTCCAACCTCACTCCCTCGTTTTTCGCGCACACTTTTTACACTACTAAACGGTATGTGTTTTTTGTAAAAAAATTCTATAGGAAAATTGCTTAAAAAATCATAATCCATTTTTAAAGTTAGTTTTAGCTAATACATAATTAATTATGCGACAATAAGCTATTCTGTTTTCCGTGCCAGAGGGATAGACCCCTAACCGGCACAAACGAACGCAGCCATAGGATAGTTGCGGAGCACTTATAGTTTGCGGAGCACTTATAGTGTAGTTACATACCAATTACATAATAGTTACATACCACTTTTCTACGTAGTTACATACTCCCTCCATTCTAAAATATAAGGCACAACCACCCTTAACCCAAAACCAAGAAATAATTATTATCATATTGTAGTTTGAATCATCCTAATAAATATAATACATGCATCCAATAGAGTTAGAGTATGTGAGAGTGAAGGATTTTAAAAAGTAGTAATTTAATGGAGAATATGTCATAGTTAATGGCATGCATGCATGTATGCCTTATATTATGGAACATCTAAAAAAAGTGGTTGTGCCTTATATTATGGAATGGAGGGAGTATCATTTAAAGGGTAGTTACAGACCACTTACAGTGTAGTTGCACGGTTCACGGTCGGAATTAGAATTGCAGTAGTCAACCCCAGATTCATCCGATGACGAAATCTCATTTGGCGTATGAGGCATTTTTGCTTTGCAAAATGCTGGCATCTGACATATAAAAGACATATACTAAAGCTATCCGAAATTTCTGAATGGTTGCTTGAACGAGAAGGCGGGAGCTATATATCAGTATATCACCATAACATATATGCAATGCACATATTGTGAAGCGGTTTCGCAAAAAACGAAAGATCAGCAGGAGCCACAAATCTGTCGCAAGACGAATAGCAATTCCGTTAATCCTATGGGACTATAAATAACCAAAAAATAGGACATGGCCTCTTTGATAGTTCCATACAAAAAGAAAAGAAATTTACAAATAGGTCATACTTCTTGCTATTTTTCTATGAAAGTGAAGCATATGAATACATTTATAGTTTCCTTCTTTTTTTCCTATGAATTAAAGGGTCTTGTAAGAAACATTTCATAGGAATTTGAATCCTATGAAACCTTTTGCCAATCCTTTGAATCAAAGGGGCCCGTAAAGTTACGGACTTTTGCAAAGTGAGCATGCGATGAAACCTACCAACCAGTATTAGTTTGCCTTATCATATACATACATATTGCCAGCTTAACAAATACTAGTAATTTGTGTACGTGCAATACACGTTTCCCACGTTAGCTACAGTAATCGTATAAAAAGGACTCGATGTCTTCACCAACAATACTTCAAATATACCCGTCATGGCCATCAATTGAAAATAGCATTTACATCATCACCAATGAGGTGTATACAACTAGCTCCTTCCATGTGTGCAGTAGAAGTTCATGTGCTCTGCAAAACACGAAGTTTAAATCTATTTCACTTGCA